CTGTTTGAGAAATAAATCGTCACTGTTTCTCCCCGTGCGGATACACTCGTGCGCGTGTGCGCTTGTGAGCCACTTCCACACGAGAAGCGGATACCGGGCTTTCCTGTCTATACGTAGCGCTGTAAGTGCCCAAGGCACATACTTCTATCGTCGTCCGTATCTTCCTGAACCCACCTTATATGGCGCAGCAGCAACGGCGTTTCCCACTTGCCCGCGCGAGTGGCTTAATACAATTCGATACTAAGGCGTTTTAGCGGAACAGTGTGTGTTTGATGACGCGAACTCCAACGAGTGACGCGAATGTGCCAATTAAATTACGAACAGTGCCAGATGCGTATCGCATTGCGACCAGATACAGCCCGCCTCTTTATAATTCGCTCTTTATTTCGCGTCAAGATTCATCAGAGCTCTCTGTCAGAGCTCACGAGAGAAAATTGCGCGAGTCGTATGATCGGAGGCAGCTCGCGCAATAATCGCATCTGTTAATCGCAGAACGATGGACTGCTTTGATTTTTAGCTGGGATCACGGAAAATCAATCGTAACGTTCGCGAGGCCGTTTTATTATCATGGTTCTTATAATCATTTCAAAAATTCGGTTTCCTCTAAATAAACCAACGTGCGTTTGATTGTCCACTTTCTGGTCAATTCAACTATAATTTTCTATCAGCGGTACGGATGTTCCATTTGTAAGTCCATAATTAACCAGTATAAAGAGCCAAGACATCTTTCCGTTGCCAATCGTTGCCATACGCCAGTGGCCGTGAAATTACAACACCAACATTCAGCGAATCAAAACATTCGAGACTTTCGAGGCGGTCGAATCTACCTGCTTGCGTTGTGTGTACGAATATTTTTACGTTCCGTGTTCCGTCGCGCGTTACATCAGGTTGGCAAGCGATCCGTACATCATATTTCCAACTTTTTTTTATCATAGTAGACAATATACAGTTTTTATTTATATAGTTAATTTGCCTTAAACATAATAAATAATATTTGATAAATTGAGTCTTCCTTAAATGCGGCGTATATATACCGGAGTTACCTTACATATTTCCAGGCCTATTGAGTCGTTTATCACAGATTTCCAACTTGACAGAATGTCTGAACTTACCGAAAATAAAGAGATTTTTAGGTAACGATGTTTACAAATATAGAACCAGAATTTCGTTTCTGGATATGTTCAATATGCGCTAGTTGCGAGGCGGAGGAAGGATCTCTTATAGGACAAGACCGGATTATTTGCGGGAATCGCGCGAGTCAATGTTCATTCAGTTTGGCGAGCACAGGTGCCCTACGAAAATACGAACGGCATAGCTCGTACATCGCGCGGCGCCGAACGTACGAGCTTTATATCACGGGTCTCGGTAGAGACGTCAGCCGCAGAGAAAAATGTTAAACACGGCTACAAGATACGGGGTGGGAGTGAAAACTGCACGTGTCTGGGTTTCCGATTTTTCATCGTTTCATCGGGGATCACCGATGCGTCCTGACGGGCTCCGTACCCGTTGCGAATAATGTACCAGACGTTTCCTGCGCGCCCTGCGTCGTGCTCGCAGTGCCTCTCATCTCCCGGCTTGATGAGCTTTCGGCTTTTCCGTCCGACAGCGCGTTCCGGTAGACGATACCGATAGGTCCCGACAGTTTCGCGGACCTGTCTCTCGACATAGCACACCGGATCTGATCGCCTCGGCGTTCGCGCTGTCCCTTCGCATTTTCGAGGACTCTCAACTTAGCTCTTCCGGGCAGAAGCTTTCGTCCCGCGCGACCCTAGATTTAAGCACATTCCCGGCGATGTTCCCGCCGACGCGATACTCGGTAATGGTGTACCCAACAACTTATGGCTTTACCGGCCTCGCAGCCGCAAACGAAATTATTCGCGGTTCAGACAACCGGAATGTCGCATTCTCTTCGTAACGACTTCGAAGGTGTTTCAAAGGTACGTAACGTTCCGACGTTGCAGGGACGCTCATTCCGCTTTTCCTCGAAACGATGCTGCAATCCCCGCTTTCTCGTATCGTTGCGTTAATTATCGAAGACGCAATGACTTAGCAACCGTAGACTGTCGCAACAGGTATCCGTTCGTCGTCCGTGATATTTGTTTTCGTCAAGCTCTGTCGCTATAAAAATCTTCCCGTCTGTCGCGTGCTGGATCTTACTCACTATTCACGCTCGAAGTTCTCGTATTTTATATCTATAACAGGCACTCACCCACGCGCGGCGAGAAAAGTCTCTCTATATATTTTATTGGGTGAAACGAAGGTGAGCGAAACTGATCGTTTAATTTCGAAGTGTCTCGACTTGAGATCCGCGAGAGGCGAGCGCACTTTATCGCGCCGCGTCGTCCCGATTTCATAACGTTTTATCTTATCTCCCTTTTGGATCCTAAAGCGCAAGTGGGACCCGTCGTAGGTGTCTAACAGTCACAGGAGGAGATGCAATTCTCATAGAGTTTTACGGTCCGGTATGGAACGTTTCTCGGATTGATGCGACTGTAACAGCCGTTCTGCTTTACGGCTAACGTCGTACAGGAAAGCGTCGTATAACTTATATGCACTGGAAACTATAGGTCTGTATTTCGAAAGCTCCCATTATGCAACGTGCGAGCGGAGAGGCGACTTTTTTCATCGCGTCACGTTTGCAAGCTTTATAACGTGACACGTTGGACCGGCACTCAGTTATTCACCCGTGAGAATTATTCATCGCCCGTGTGTATTAGAAATCGCACGCACGCTCGCGCACACGCGTACGCCCGCCAGTAAAATAAAATAAAACGGAACCAAATAGCTCTTGTCGTGTTATATCGAAAGAGAGAGAGAGAGAGAGAAACGGCTGCTTTCATTATTACACGCGCTTCGGAGTCAGCTGTAGCGTGCGATATCAACGTCGATATATCGTCAATATCGCCGAGAATCCTGTCACTTTCCGCAGTGTCGATTTGGTGTTATCTGAAGACCGAGCGGCACGACGCTTTCGAAATAAACTTCAAATAATGCCCGTGACAGGTTCGATGATGCTGTTCCGTTATCAGCGATTCTCAACGCGTAAACACGGAAACTTTATCTCGCGTCCCCTGTCGCATTTTGTCGAAAACGGACGCGCGCGTACCATTGTCGATCGTATTAAGAGCCAAATCCCGCTGTAATCGCCCCTTTATAATACCGTTATAATGCCGATATTAACGTGTCGCCATGTCACGTCAATTTGAGTGGCACTCTCCGCTCGTATTATTCGAATCGTTAGACTCCTCGATAATAATTATCTTCCTCCGGCCTCTCATAAATCACAGCGGACACACGTACCCTGCAGACGTACGTATATAAATTCGGCAACGTGAATCGTTGCGTTAAGGACTTTTTTTACCTGCGTCACGCTTAAGGCATTTTTGAGCTCGCGAACGGCTCCGCATCCGCTTGAGCTCAAGCCGGGGGTATAACGGCGGCCTCCCGTGCGTAATTTCCTGAATATTCAAACGAGGCGCGATATCGAAGCTTCGTGCTTGCGGTCTCGCGAAGTTACCTCGAGGAATAATTTCGCCAGTGCACCACTGTCTGCTTACTCGGGACAAATAGGTATGCAGTTATTCTGAGACTGCCGGGGTGAATGCCCACGTTCACGTGGGCCGCGGTTGCAGTCCCTCCGCGGGTTCGCAAAAGCTCAAATCAAATATCGCCGGATAGCGAGCGAGGGCGCCAAGGCATGGGTCTTTAATAGTTGCAATAATGCGTTGATTGTTTTGGCCCGGCGCAGGCCGCGCTTCAGGCGACTCGATTCACAATTGGACCCGACAAAGGATCCAATATGTGCCACTATAGACGGAATAACGGTATCATTGATGTTCTGAGAATTTGCATAAAATCGGCTAGGATGACGTGTAACAGCTTGATAATTATGTCATATTAAGATATCGGACGATCGGGGCTCTTGAGCTTAGCGAGCAGTCGAGAACTACGTCAAGAGACGGAATGAACATTATTCTCGAGCATCGTGCGAGTTTAATCGCGCGTATTAAGTTGACGTTTATCCGTGTTTCTCGTTAGCCCCCGTTGGCGGACTAACTATAATGAGCTTAGAGCAGCAACGTGCACAGTGAACTTATAATGAAACGTCACGTGCACGCTCAGCTGGAGCAAATGAGATAAACGATAGATATTCCTAATTACGAGTTGCCGCGTTAGTTTTCGAACTCGCGCGCTCACACGTAACTCGACTCCCCTTTCTTCGCGAATTTCGTGCGCACGATAAATGACACACATTGCAGTCGTTGCGCGGAAAGTACACGTCTCGTGTTAGGTAAAAACGAAAATTTGAGAAAATAATTGCTTTGGACACAAATAGTGCAAAAAATTCGTCGATTTAGAAGCGTTATATATATATATATATGTGCGTGTGTGTGTGTATAGATATAATATTCTAATTTTGTTTAAATTAATTAATAAACCATTTTGTAAGTTAATAAGTATTTTTGTAATGGTTAATAGATAAGCATTTTTGTGAAAGTTAATAGGTATCCATACGTCACAAAAATATCCGTACGTCCTTTTTTCATTTTTAACGTCACATTTGACAAAAACACGAAAAGAATACAGAAAAAAACTCCGCTCCAGCAATAGAATAGGGACCAGATGAAAATTCGGTGACAGGAAATGAAAGTTCGGCGACAAGAAGTGATATCTCTGTTACGGCGGTTGAAAACATTTACTTAAACATTCAGCTGCATAGAAGCTAGGTTGAGAACAATTAACTGAGTAGAAACTTCCTATTGGAATCTTTCGATTCTTACAACCAAGTTTTCGTCTGGTCCTCAGACAACGAAAATTTCAATTACACTAACGGAATTGTTTTTTCCGTGTAATACTGCTCAATTTAGAATAACGTTAGCTTCCTCCCGAGCTACTTAGCTCTGATTAAAAATGTTTTAATAATAATTAGCAAGAAATACAAATCTATAACTCTTGAGCGTGTGCTCGTCGTACGTCATATGTGTTTTTGTCCTGTTTAGATTCTTAAAACAAAGCCCGCTTGAAAGCCGATGTGGAGGAAAAGGAAAGAAAAAGGGAGAGAGAGAATAGTTTGATGTTTTCCGTTCTAAGAATTTAATCATGGTGATATACGTTATCGTAGCTGACTAATTTCGATGACGACATCAACTCCTCCAAAGACGAAAGAGACGAAGTTGGGCTTTACGACGAATACAATCAGCACGTGTTGCTAAGCACTCCAAAATAGGCAATGAATCGATACGACGTCGCATGTGATATGGAGTAGATTTAACACGAAGCCCGACAGAATGAAGAGCAAAGTGACAGGAAACAAGGTTTGTCGCTTTGGTTTAACTCTTTTATCTTGCGGTTAATCAAAATTCTCATGATTTATTTTACGTTACGGGAAACCATCATTTAATCTATCGTTTCCGCTGTATCTTTGACGCGAATGTATATGAAAAATTAATAAAATTCCGTTGCCATCTCCGACTGCGGGATATTCGCGAATTCGGCTCCACTTCTTTAAACATGAAACGACTTTAAAGGTATATTTATAAAAAATGATTTGTCGCAGTACCGCGCTACTACGACTCAAGCGAATGTCAACATTCTTCACTATTTACCTCGCGCCGGTATCGCGAGAACTTTATTGAACAACCGCCTCCAGCGAATCGCGCGCGAGCAGCCATTAGATAAGAAGATCGCTTTTATCTACAAACGTTTTCCATTAACGATCATTAAGGCGTAATCGCAGCTTCGAGAAAACATTTTCGTGTAGCGAGGCGAGTCGCGCAGTGCGATGCATCACCGGCGATAGCCACGCTCCTCGTTTCTTGCCTCTTCTTCGTCGCACTAGCCGGTTGGTCGGTCGGTTTCGCGAGTAGCACGGAGTCTCGACTATTTTTAGTAGCTTCGCCTCGTAGCAGCGGCAGGGTCAATCGCACTAGTCAAGTCGGAAACTTGCAGGCACTCTCGGCTCGTTCCCAAACGTTCCTTCTGCTCGGCGGAAGGCAGCTTTTCTCTTTTTCCCTGTCTTGCTTCTCGGATCGCCGCCGGTAGTCGTACTTTCAGCAACTTCCGCATTCGCCGAACCAGAATCGAAACCCGGCTCATTTCTTCCCTCCAACGTGACTTCATTCGCGCGAGTAAACTTGAGAATTCATTTCCCGTCTGGGCGTCGCTGCTGAAAGGCGTACTGCAAATGCGCGCTGATTTATTTGACTTTTGTTCGCGAGGTATTTAAAATGACAATAGTAACGGTAGACACGGTTATCTCACATGTCACGTGTATGTTTTATTAATATTATTTGCACGTACGCGAGCCACGCGTACTTTTCAAATTTCCGGCTAGCGACAGAATAGCATGGCTGCGAATCATTTCGAATCGCTTTGACGTGACAATCGCGTTGGTTGTGCGAGTGGCGATGTATGTACGCGTGTACACATGTCAGTGTTCTCATCGCCGTTGAGAATGACCCCGGCGGTCTGTTTGAAGAGTACACACAGCGTACATCGCCCAACTCCCACTCGTGTTTTTATTAGGACGTCTAAGTTCCGGAATTCCGCGCGCTCTCGTCGTTACAAGAGCGTACGCATCTATATGCGATTGTCTCTCTCTCTCTCTCTCTCGCCCGGATAAATACCTTAAATCAAGGTGGAAAACATGACCCAGTTGATTCTGCTCCTTGCACTTATCCCAGTATCGGTGCTTCGCGGAGATACGCATCGCGATGCAAATGCAAGAATCAAATATTTGCCTCGTCGCAGTTGGGGTGCGCAGATGCTGTCTTATTCTGCAACCCAGGGATGATTGCACGGTGCCTGCATCGGGAAACCAAATATTTATGTCGCGTGTATGTATAAATCGCCGCTGAGGTTAATTACAATAATTGCTGTGCTATCCTCCGAACAATCTTCGTTCACGTATGTGGGAAGGACATTTTTAGACATTTATTTTCTTCAAGAGAAATCATCGAGGAATGAGATTCCCAAACATTTCCAAATATAACATAGATTCTGATTGAATTAGCCAAACTTAGTCGAAATAAGTGTAATATATTGCGATACCACTCAGGAATCCTATTCTTACTCCAATTATCCTCCAAGAAAACTTCAGGGAAACGTTGGGCAGACAAATGGAATGTGTCTGGGTTTCCCATTTAGAATCACAACTTTATTTAGTTGGTTAATTGGAATGGATTCTAATTAGATTTCTTAAAATGTTCTACATGGGAAACCAGATAGATCCCATTTTCCTGCCCAAAGTTTTTCAGATATATTGTTCAATATGAATATCAAACAGCAATCTAAGAAAAAGAAAACTTTGGCTAAATATTGGACAGAGGAAATAGAATTTGTCTGGTTTTCCATTTAGAATCATACTTTTGAAACGTTACATCTCTAATCCGAATCTTTATAGATTTCCCAATCAGGATTCATTATTTTTTTAGGGAGATCAGAATAGATTCCAATCAGATCCTAGAAAACATTTTTATTTCGTGGAATCGTTCGATGTATAAAGCCGCCGGATTTTCGACGCTTGTTGTCCCCGTGGACGTGACGTTTGATTATCGGAGGGTAACACGTGGACACATGACGTGGAGGTGAGGCATCGGTATTTAAGGTCGTAGAGCCGGCTTAAAGACCGGATGTGCCGACACACACAATTGATTTTGTAACGCACTTGAAAATAGGAAGAGGGCTGCGTGACTCACGACCGCGTCCCGTCCTACACGCGATATTCTCACACGTGCGCGAATTGGTGCTCGCGAGGGAGAGGCACGAGAGAACGAAAGAGCGAGAGACGGTGATTTGGAGCGAGAGGAAACTTCGTTATTGCAAGGCAAATGTGTAGCCGCTTTTCGCGAGTGAAAAGGAAGGCAGCCTCCGAGGGCTCTAAATCGTTCGGGCGAGTTTCGAGCGAGGTTTCGAGTTGGATGATCCTCTCACGTGACCCGAAGAGAGAAATAGTTGCGCCCGCGGTCGGTCCTTATGCGCCCGGCCGAATCACCGGAAAGGGCTGAACGACGAGTTGAGAGTTTCAGCAGACTGGAATTGGTATAAGGAAACAATCGGCATAGAAATTGGTAGTTGCCACCAGAGAGAGAGAATACGATAGAGACTGAAGACAGAGGCAGCGACAAACTCCACGCCGGCGAGTTAGCATGCAAATTGTGGCGTGAGCGCGGTTAGTTCGACAGTCCCTGAAGTTACGCGCGTCCCTCGCGTTCCCCTTGCATGTCGAATGCTCGGCCAGAACGGATACGGTGTCGCAAAGAAATTGTGGTTTGTACGCGCGTGTTCGATCGCGACGCGCGGACGAGTGGCGAGCTGTTGAGAGGGAAAAAAATCGGGAATAAAAATAATTCGTTTTGTCGCTTTTTGTCGCAGTTTTATTTTATTTTATTTTTTTTTAACCGTCGTTCCCCCCTTGCCCACAGCAGCAGCGTGCGGGAGTGCTGCGTACGCATACGTTTGGCGACGTCGCCGAAGATCGACAGGGTCGAGCGTCGTCGAGCGGAATAAAAGCGCGATGTGCAATTAAGCGCAGTGGCGCCGAATGTGCAGCGAGACGTTGAACCCGGGCCCGATCGCAGATTGCCTTTGTGATTAAACAAAAGTGGGTTAATGCTGTATGTCGGGATACGCGCATCCGTAATGACGTTGACATCCTGAATCCCTTCCCCTCCCATTACATCGAGAACAATAGTATGCACTGTACATTGTTCCTTAACGCGGGTTCTGCGTTCCTTTTTTCCGGACGTTGGCGCCGCGCGACGGCCAATCGAGGGCTAGGTGCAGCCTCTCTTAATTGCATATGGGTAACCGTGAGGCGCGCCTTTTTCGGCGTAATAACCGTAATTAATAAAGGAATCGTGGCCGCTAACTAAATCGCGCTGAATAGTAACGGGTATCGAGAAAATGGTATGCACACGCGCGCGTTCTCTCGCTCTTCCGTTCTTAATCCGCGGGAGAAAAAGTACCACGAATATATATATCTCTCTCTCTTTTTTCCATTTGCCTAAACGACTTTGTTCGAGCCTTTTATATGGCGCGCCTTTTCCGTCCTATGGAAAGTGCACGATGCGTACGGAAAGCACGTCCGCTTTCCTTTAATGGCGAGCCGGCGAGGAACAACTCGGTCAAGGAACTTCATCAGAGGCCGCCGGGAGGAACTTCGCTCATAACGATGCACGCGTCTATTCGAACGTGCACGAGCAGCTAGCGCGCGCGTGGTGCTTTCGTTATCGCGTCTCGCGCTATCTCCCGTTTTCACCGTTTGCTACACGCTCGTAATTTATAGCTTTCGCCATTATACTTACCACCGCTTCTAACAATGGTCTAATTTTCGTGCGCGGGGCCTCGTTAAACGCGTTACGTAAGACGCGGACCGGAAAAAATAAATCTAGTTTACGCGTTCCCTTTATATCGGACGGTTGTGTGCGTAAAAAGTCTAAAAATAAGGTTTCTATTTTTACAGGCCATTTCGGACGTGCTTCGTTTCGCATTCCCCGCAGAAAAGCACGTGTAAAATGCAACAACGGTTCGCCAACCCTCGGCGATAATGCCACACGTGTAAATCCCGCGGAGCATCGGGCAATTAAGGTTTATATTTCGCGACGTTAAGCCGATATCAGTGACGGTGGGTAATTTCGAGCGAAATTGTCGAGCCCCGGAGCGGCGAGCGCGACCGGATTTACGCGTAAATTTTTATCGTCGCGACATCACCGCGTTATTTTAAAACGCTCCCCCGAAGCCGTGTATTTCCCAGCTTTCAGCCGCCGCAATCGTTATCGGGCTTTCGCATGGACGTACGCTATATCGCGTCATTGCAAGTAGTAAAATCCTCGAACTTGTGCGTAAACGTGGAAATAAATGCAGTAATAACTTCCGACCGCGAGAGAGAGAGAGACCCAAATAAGGACGAAGTCCGTCTTCTCTCTTCGCAGCCTCTTTTTAAGAGTTTCAGCATCCGTATTTTCGTCGGAGAAGCAAGAAAAGCGTCGGCCGATGGAAGCCTCGTCGACCTGCGACGGCGATGTTCATTCCGTGTCCCTTCCAGCGCACGGAATAAGATCGCCGCGAGAGAGAGAGAGAGAGAGTGCAACTTTGACGAGGAAGGGAAGTTTCGTGGGTGCCCCAGATGGAGGAGTCGGGTGTCAGTCAGCCGGTCAACAACCCGTCTCCTTGGAAGTGTCGTGGTATCGCGTGCCTTCGTCCATTAACCCGGTTAATCGCACGCTCGTTAATTCCCATTTCGCGCGGCGCTTCTGATCCGTTCTTGAATCGCCCGCGTTTTGCCGTTATTCCCGCCGCGACAGCAGTCTCGTTTCTTTCGCAACTGAATGCAACGCCGCTCGCTACGATAAGATCGGCCGGTTATTACCCGTGTAAACGGTAATCGCTGATTAGGGCGGAATTTTCGGAGCAAACCGCGCGATGAAACGCGACGCGCACCACGGTAATTTCGCATTAGATCGCGAGACACGTGCGCGCGAAGACGAGTACTTCAGACACGCCTCGTAAGAGATGGGACTCGCGCGGTTATCATTGAAGCGATCATTCCGAACGCCGACTTTGAACTATTCTTACCGTTAGGGATGAAAGTGTGCCAAGGTATAAGTAAGAACTATTTAGACGTTACCGGCGGTACTCGAGTGTGTAAACTGCGTCCGGGACGATCGCGGCATCACGCGAAACCGCTATTTATGAATTTAGTCCGAGCCAGCGTGACACAACGCAGTCTCGTACGACCTATTTATTTCGAGAGTTACGCGGAATCGTCCGCCGAACGAAGCGCGTGCTCCATCGAGAACTCTGTCGAAAGATCCGCGGGTATTTGTCATCACAGCCGCGGCCGGTCGCACCGAAATCGATTTAATCGAAGGCGACATTGTCGACAGAAAGGGAAGTGTAGCTATCGGCGGCGTGCTATCGATTACCTATCGTTATCTCGTTTGTATTCGATATCCCGGACAACATGTCGGATCGAATTTTGAACGCAATTAAATACGTTGTTCACGGCTGGGGTCATGTTCTCCGGCTCGTCTCGGACGCGCGCGTTCGACCATATTCCGAATATAAATAACTCGAAGAGAGCCGTGAGCCGTGCAGCTCGAAAACTTCCCCATCCGCCGGTGTGTATTCGCGTGCGTGCACACGCGCGCTCAGAGAGACGCGTGTACGTGAGTCGACTTGCACGTACTCTCACTGGCCGCGGGCCAGGATTAGTCATCCGAAATGCTCCGGATCTCACGCGGTCCGGTCTACGTGAACGCACTCGCCGAGGAATCCTTCCCGTTGTTTGGTTTCCGAATTTCGGACGGCGTTAGCACCCCTCACGGGGTGCTCTTCCCGTCAACATCGTTCACCGGATCCCGATACGATGCCGCGCGAGCTGAGAGAAGCACGAAATACGCACCTTTTATATTCCGTTAGAAAGTTCATGCATTTTTCGAGCAGTTATCGGATAAAACTTCCGTCCAGTAACTGAGGAGAAAAACCACTTGCGTTCGCATTCAAGATGTAACGCTTTCCTGCAGTTACTGTATAGAAAAAATAGTCTTAAATCAATGATAGATATTTTTATATGTAAGCAAGAATATTATATATAAGCCAAATTTGAACCCATTTATTGAAGCAATTTAGTGAACGAAAACGGAGAATAAATGGACAAAATCTATTCGTTTGATTAATAAGCAAGCCTGCTACTTATGAAATGGATAGTTTTGCCCTGGAAGTACTTCTGGATAAAACTTTATCAAGTTCTTATCCGTTTTCTACATAGTATTGTTACCTCGATTCGAAGTTTTGGCCCTATGTTAAACCTTTAATTCTACATATAGTAGGAATTAAGATAGCAAAATAGATTTCATTTCAATTCTAATAATATAATACCTTGACTTTGATGATGTTTTAAATTTCTGTTTTCATTATTTTAGCATCAAAATAGGTTGTTGAAGATAACATTAAAATTCTATCTGTAGAATTAAAGATTCAAGAAAGGAGTTAAAATACACGTCGACATCGTCAAAGTAGGTTTTTATTAGTCTGTTGACTATTTAAATAGGCGTAAATTATCCTTAAGAGTGTCAGGCTGATATCAATATTTTCCAACTCGGGATAACTAATATATTAATACTAATACATTAATACTAGATTAGTAACTGGATAGATATTTAGAAAAGTTCCATTCATTTCCACTAGGATAAACTCAAAGGAAATTTTCTTTCAAAGAAAATATAATCTTCTTACAAGGCACAGAGCAAATATTGTACCGTTTTGAGAAGGGTTTTTTTCGAAAATTTTAAAAGAGAGGGAGCGGGTTTTCATGCGCGTTTAAGTCTCCAAATTGAATTCCGGAATCCTCGAGCGTAATTTGAATATTTAGGGTCGCTTAAACGGTGTTTTCGGGAACGTTTAAGAATTTCCGGGGAACGTTGGAGGACCGAAGCGCTACTACGAAATCCCTTTCGTGCCGACATCGGGGAACGCTGTACGGATTTACATAGTAAATGCACATTGCACTCGATGTGTTAGATAAGAACGAGGTGCATGCGATAGTGAGCGCGAGGGTCAAGGAGCACGGGGCGGATCGCGCAGGCATTCCCTCGGCGTTTCATCTCGACCCGATATTTCATTAAAATCTACCGTCGCGTTTGACGACTTTCGCAGGTGCTTTTGTTCTTCGTCGTAACGTCCTTCACAGGGCACTCCCGTCTCCGCCATCCGGACAACGAGGCACTCAAACGTAGACGAGTGCTCCTTCTCCCGTAACAGACAACGCGTAACGAGACGAAGGTCTTGTTATATTGCGTTTCCTTCTCTGACTTAACGCCAAGTCGGTCTCGTCCTCCTGACGATCGGCGACTTACCACTCCCCCGCCGGTGCATTGAAATTGCCGCCATGGCACTCTATATTTTTTCTGAGCGCACACCGTCGGAAAGAGATTATTGCCGGGAGTAAGAATAGTCTGCGCCCTTATGTTATTATCATTATTATTACGCCCAGTTGCATGTCCACTGAAAAAGGCTACATTATTGTGAGATTGAAGCCGACGATTCTATGCGCAGGATGTCCCATTGTGTAATATTTCACCAGCGTGTTTTCTGCAGGTTAATCAGAGTCAAAATTCTAACATGATAATCGAACCGTACGAATGGTGGAAATTACTCAAATTACCGGACCGTATCGCGCTTTCCGTTATTATTCTCGTCTCGCCGCCGAATTTTCCTTAATTTTCCCCTCGTTTTCGCCGGTCACTCCGCAACGACGTTTCCCCCGTATAAGCGGGATCGAAATGTCGTTTACCGTAGGCGGGATTCGATCAGAGACTATCAGGAAATTGGACAGTGTGTTTCCCGCGTGCCAACGAGACAGACGAAGGTGAATATCGCTCCGGTAACAACCGAGTCTATAGAATTTTCGACAGTACAAAGGAACGGTCTTCGCGCACTTCTGCGCTTCATTCCGCAAAGTTAAGGGACGCGCGTGCGTCTCTCATTCGGGTCGACCGTTTGATACAAATGAATCGCGCGTCCGTCGACATTCGTTACGATCGTACGATATATAGACGATGGGAGATCCGAATCTACGGAGTTGGCGCGACCTCGTTACCCGCCGTCGTGACGTTTGCGTACTCGTCTCCTTGTTGACACACGCGAGTACCTGCGATAGCACTCCGCGGAACAAATCCGATACAGCGCGAGGCCCGCCGATGCGCGCATGTAACGTAATTAACAATCGTCGACCCGTATATCGATGCGGATGTCTTCCGAACGCATCGCGGGCTGGAACGGCCGAAATTCGATAGGTCTCATATCGGTGGATCAGCCGAGAACGTCTCGATTCGACGACGGCGATTCACGAATTGCTCGATACTCTCTCGTCGAGCGCGCGGTATTGCAAATACGTATGCATGTATGCACATATGCATCGGACCCGGCCGATCGACCGACACAGCAGCCTGGACAGTCGGCATGGCACGAAAATTCGAGCGGCCCGCGTATCTCTCGTTTCGAGAATTGATTGAAAGTCCGGTTTTTTCCCCTTCCGGAGCTTTCACGTCCTTTCCGGATTTAGAGACTCGCGAAAAACGACGGCGCGCGTTAAAGTTGATCCGATTGAAGTTCTTCAAGTTAAGCTACTGGCACGTTGAAAAGGCAGTAAGGAAATTGACAAACTAATTGGTATATTTCTTTAGATTTATATAGAATAGTTCATAAATGCATGTCCATATTTCGGGGGGATGAATCTACATACATTAAAATAAGTAAAAAAAAATGTCACGTGGACTTATGTCCGTGTATACCTTAGTTTTCGAGTTAGGGATGATTAAAAAAAATGTTCGAAGTGTCCGCCTCGTGCGTCAACGCGCGTTACTGCACGCCTCAACCAGTTGAAATTCTACTTGGTTCTGCTTAAAGCCAAACTTATCGTCACTTCTATCGTCTTTTGGAAATATATAAACCTAACTACTTACGTTTTTCTTTATGCCACTAGCTTAAGAGTTAGGACACCGTCTGTCATTAATAGGGCACTCCTCTTTCTTCCATCAAGTCTTAACTGTCCCTTTTTAAGTTCTAAGTGTACACTAGTTCGGCAAAAAAGAGCACTTAATATATCCATCACTCATGCGGTGTTCTTTGTCAGTCACATCTTCTCCCTCACTCTCCCTCGCTTCGTCTCTATTAACGGCGGACGGGTTTCACCAATTAGGAATCGTCACGCGGTGTCCTAACTTTTACTCTAGTCCCAGCAAAGGCCACTAATAACTAATGTAACGCCTTTAGGTAGGTGATAGTCGCTGAGTGCATATCCATTACCGCGTATGCACCCGGGGATGTTAACCGCAAATCATTTTCACGGATGGCGAGACGCCGCGTTGCCCCGCGTAAAAAAGTGCCCCTCGGAAGCGCGCGCTATCGCCCGACGGGCGTTTATGGTTATCGCTGCGGGGAAAAACTGATATTCATTTCTTCATTCGATGCAGAAGCGCGGTTGCGGTTGCGGGATAAGAAGCACGGCTCTCCCGGCGGCTTTTCAATTTTCTCAGATTGAATACATTAGTCCCAATTCGCCGCGCGTTCGATCTCCGAGGGCTCACGCACGAATTGTTGACCTCGCCTTGGCCCCCGTCTACGTGACGCACGATCGTTTCTAATATGTGCTCTAGGCTCGCCGATGCCTCCACGGGACCGCGTACGTAAGCAAACAAGAGCAACACGTTGCCCGGAGACTAATAGGAACGCGTTTAGCGAAGGACGGAGCAGAGCGGATTCCATGTAATTAGAAGAGGGCAGACCTGTCAAGGTTGGGGGATCTCTGTGGATCTACGTCCATGGAGATGAAAGGGAGACTAGTCCGTGGCGCAACGTTCTCTCTCGTGAGGCGTCTCTCATTTCGCTCGTCTCGTTCTATTAGCCAGGACTTTTTCACTCTCGTCGGTCGTATCGCCTGCATAACGCGATATCCGATGAGAGATATCCCATAGATCAATCACGATGCGTGAATCCGTCGTTGGCCCTCAGTAATCTCCCCCGTAATCATCGAGAGGCTGCGTGGATTATTCTTTCCGCGGAACCGTATAACGCAGCGTTTAATTTTCCACGGAGCATATTCGCCGAAATATTCTTCTCTCGCGCTGGGTTCCTCCCTCTCTCTCTCTCTCTCTCTCCCTCCTCCCC